AAATCTTAATTTGTCTGGTTTATTACCATGTAACATTCAAAAGAAATGACGTTCACATCAGCCTCTCTTGTGCTTTGTGGTTAGCGCTAATTAGCAACTGTTAGCATGCTAACACTAAACAAAGATAGTGAAGATAGTAAACATTTTACCTGCTAAACATCAGCATGTTAGCATTGTCATTATGAACCCGTTAGCATGTTGACAATAACATTTAGCTCAAAGCACAGCTGTGCCGAAGTAGAGGAAGCTTCTCTGAAGGACATAATGCTGTTATCAAATCCGCCTCACTCACATGAACAAACCGGCTTTGATGAGTGACTGACCTCTGATGACTTGATTCCTTTTTCAGAATATGATGATGCCACTGATGCAGATGAGATGACGACATTTGATGGCTCTACTATTTCCCTCTCCCTCTCTCCCCTAATGACGCCAGCTAAACATGGTAATTAGTTAGGCAATAGGCATTGAAATTATTAGGTGTTAGAGTGCAACTAGCTGCTTGTTTGTTTCTGTGTTTTATGTCCCTCTGGTGTATTCTGTAAAGAGACGAAAAATGCCTCAAATGAAATGGATGCTTAAAAGTATCATTACAGCTTTGCCTGTGTGATTGCACTTATCCACATCCCACTTCACTGAATTGGTTTCATCTGTTGACAGACACAATTCCCAATGGGAAAGACCACTTGGCAGAAATGGAGGAGGCCCTGAGCATTGAGGTATCCAAGCTGAGCATGAGCACTTCGGAAACGGTGGATATCAGCATTACATCGAAGGAGAGCATCGGGGAGGCTCAGACCCTGGAGAGTCAAACCAAGTCCCCAAAGAAAAAGAAAAAGAAGTTCCGCACACCTTCATTCTTGAAAAAGAGCAAGAAAAAGAAGGACGAGAAAGAAAAAACTGAAGCCTGAGGGCATTTACTGTAAAAACAGTGTTTTTACTTGGAAAACATCTGAATTGTGTTCTGAATTTTCAGCTTGTTGAAGTAAAGTGAAATAATACAAATGACTATCATTTAGTCTGATAAAAGTTTTTACACAACGTCCCTCATTCACAGCTATTTAATGTGAAAGTTTTTCCAAGATGGTAAAATGGATGCGTTTTTTTCTCCCTGTCAGAATTTCTGTATTTTATCAAATGAAAGGTGAATGCTAAACTGCATATTTGTCGTTAAAACCCATATTTTGTTTTATTTTTACTTTTTATTTTCTGCATACACAATTTAACAAGGTTTTTAGAACAATAACTAAAAACCCGGTTGACCAAAATACAAAAGAAAGGGACATATCCCATGCCCAGCCAGCAAGAGAGAGAGAAACAGAGGGAAGATAAATAAATAAAGAGATTGTTACCCATATTTTTAATGGGGTATCATAGGACTACAATGTTGTGAAGGTTATGAAAACATCAGATTACAGTTATGTTGTTTTTTTTCTTTTTGCACAAGTTCATTGTTGAATGTATACGGAAAGCTAAAAAAATGTTTCAATGATTTTTTTTAATAGTAGTGTAACAGTGGCTGAACATACACGACATACACAACAATTAGCCTTATAAGAAGTACGATTTGTATTCATAGTTATAATATCTTGTAATAATATATGTTGGTTTATATTATAGGTATTACAATATAGTGTTTGATAAATGATTTGATAGTCTACATATTTACTTTACATACTAACTCTTAATACTAAACATGCTGTGATTGTGATTGATAATTCATTAATAATTCATGTTTTTACATTTATGTTAGTGGTATTTTTCCCATGGTTGCTGCTTTATTGTAATTTTGACAAGGAATTGACTGTGACTAACAGAAGGAGCTCAGCGAAGTGATGACTTTTGCATACTGATGTTTATGAGTTTGACTTTTACAGAATCGACAGGGAGTCACTTGTTTGGATGTTGACAATGAAAGTGCCAGGCGTGAATCACAGAAGGTTCAGTATGATGGATGTTTTGACAGATTATGTCCAAATAGTCAGTTGATGGCAATATGTGGTTGAAAGCTCATCTTCATAGCCACTGTTATATTTTGAGTTTGATATAAAGAGTATTAAAGGACCATATATTTACATCCCAGTCAATAATGTGAACCCAAAGGAAGTGAACTCTTTGCCTTTGTAAATAGTTTTTGTGAAGTTATTTTGTTACGGTAAACCAAATGTTAAATGATGAAATGTGACAGTACAATCTAATAACAATATTTTAACACTCCTGTTATCATTCACCTTAATGCACAGCACATTGTGTTTACAAATCATATAATGTAATTTGTATGCCGAGTGCTTGTATTTTCTCTGTGGTTTACATTACTATCTGTCACCTGAGGTTTTTCCCCATGGTGCTTTACATTTTTAGTCACCTTGCCTCAAAGTCAGTCCTTTTAAAATTGCCTTCCACCAGATGTAATAAAAGCTGGCATAGGTTTCAATAACTGTTTTATTGCCCTCTTGCTTATTGGCTGAAAGGTATTTGGTGTTATCATTTCTTATCTTTATCTTATCTCTTTAATGCATTTTCAAACATGAACAGGGTTTTTTCTTTTTTATGTTGTTGGATATTTATGCATTTGTTCCAGCTGTGACATTTCATTCTGGTTCAACTCCAGCTCCAGTTCTAAGAGACTACACAACACCTCAAGTATGAAATAAAGCTTTCTAGAAAACTGTTTACACAGCCCCCTCTATCTTTGTTTTTTTTTTCAGAAAAGCAGTGTCTCCCTAAAAACAATGCACTGTTCAGTGATAATTGACCTGTGTGAAGCTAGTCAGTCTTCAGCCATGATATGAATGGGCGTTGTCATGGTAATCCACTGAGAGGGGGCTGCGGAGACAAAGAGGGGATTTGGTGTCTCTAACAGGTGTTGAAGTTGGGGGGAGTGACAGGATCTATACCTACACCACCCCCAAACCCCATACACACCTTACTATAAGGACAAGAAGATGACATCAAAACTAAAAAATGACCAAATTAAGAAAAATTTTAAACATTTTATTTTGAAAAAAGACATACACGAGTCTTCTGGTAACAAAAACAGATAAAATAAATAAATAAAATTTTCTCTGGTAATGGGAATAATCAACACTTTTTTCAGCTGCTAAGCACCACCACCCGGTTATCTCATCAATCCTTTACAATGTGGTGATGACAAAGCTTAGTGTTGAGCTCTTCCGTGCCCTGACGGTGCTAAGGAGAGGACGGAGCAGGTGACACACGTCTGGCCTGCTGGTGTGTCCTTCTGCTGTGACCTCGGGGCAAAGTGCAGCCATTGTTTTGAAACAACAGGGGACTGCTGCAGCACAATGCTTTATCTGAGCCTGTCATCTTAGAGACCACCAACATGTGAGAGGATAGCATCCGATAGATAGATAGATAGATAGACAGATAGCATTATAGATATATTTGCCCTTTCAACAACACCCTAAATGCCCTAAACTCTCTGATGAGTGAGACCACTGTGGGATGTTTGGCACATTCTTTCATAAACACACACCAGCACCGTGTCACTTTATTGCCTCCTCTGTGACAGCCGAGCCACTGGTGTAATCCTCAGGCTTTTCAGATTACTCCAGTTGGGGTCACATTCTACACCAACCTACAGCGGGTCAGCTTTCCACGCTGTCGCTATCAGTGTGCAGCACGCACAGTCAGTCAGCCTGCACACGAGCCTCACAGCACAGATGAGCCTTTTCCTGGTGAAATGCTGTCAGTTTCCAATCCCCCACTGAACTCTCTGTCCGCGTCTGGTCGTTTTGTGCACACGGGTAGCTGTAGATGATGATGATGATGTGTGGAAAAGACTGTAGTGACAAAAGCCTTAATCAAATGGAAAAAAATGCATATTAGCAGAGAAACACCCCTATTCCAAAAATAGACCTGTATTTGTTAGGATCTTATAAGGCGCCTTTGCATCTTTACATAAATTTAGCCTTGTTTTTGCCACTAAAGTGTGCGCCTCTGTTTCAGTGTCCAGATCACGACCGTCTGTGTGTGTGTCAGGCCTTGCCAGGCAGCTGAAATGCACTCCATGGGAGGGTGTGCTCTCTCACAGGCGTCCGTTACAAGCCTGGCCACATCTGCAGCAGGCCAGCCATCTGCACCCATTGTTGTCTCAGAGGCACAACACAGCCCTGCACGCATGGCTGGCCTCGTAAAGGCAGGCCCTTTCCCCTCTGTCCTCCTCCATCCCTCACAGTGTGGCAAAAAAAGACTTCTTAATCAGTCAAAAGGGACGACAGAAGTGGACCATCAAGCTAGTAAACTCAATTTCAAGGTTAGTTTTCCATAGAGACAGGGAACTTTAAAGGTTACAAATGTATAGTCTCTTTCACTATCATGTACATTCTTTTGTCCACTGAAGTGAATCAGCCCCAGACATTAACCATATTTTCACTGGTTTTTACTTTCTTGCTGTCTTGATGTGAGTTTATATTGTTTTAGAACAGAAGAACGACACTGCACACTCAGAGGAGCTGAGGTGAGAACCATAAACTTCAAGTAAGACAAAGATAGGGGTAAACAATGGGATTATTAAAGGAATATAATCTCAGAGTGCCTCTAAAATCATATGAATGTATTGCATTCACACCCAGGAGAAAACTCCTGAAAAGTCTTAACTTTGGGGCGCAAATCACCTTAAGGTAAACATCAGACAGTGAGTGCAGAGACCAGCCCCTTCCCTATGTCCCTGATAATCAGGTTGCCCTATTGATTAGACCTGATACTGTCTAATGCCATGTAGCCTTAATGCTACTCATTTTTAAAGTCTGTTCACAGACATTCAGACATACAATATCTGCGTGCACATGACAGGCAGCTCTCATACGCCATTAAAGTATTCAGTTTAAGCCCACTGAAATAAAGCAGCATTGTTACAAATGAAAGCACGCGTTATGTGTGTTATATTTGTTACTCTCCTGCAGTATTGATAATGAGGATCTATTATGGCACAGTTGACAATGAATGCAATGTGTGCATGCGTTAGTGGGAGGGATTATCCACCAAGTAGGGCAAGTGGCTGAGGCTAAGGACTGCAATTCCATCGAGCCTAGTTCATTTCAGTCATCTGCTGAGTGCACAGACGAGACAAGGAGACCAATTTCAGCGCTGCTTATTTGCCAAAGCCCCAAAACAGCCTAAAGTGAAAATGGTAAAGTACATGCGACAGCACGGCGAGCTGAAACCCGAAGAGGTCCTTTCGGAGTCTGACGCGTCCATGCACCAGCAGGATTTCGGAGAGATGTCCGACTATTCTTTCAGCGACGTTTTATACTCCAAATGTTCCGCAATGGACCAAATCGGCACTTTTATGAAGAACGTGCAAGTGCTGCTCGATGCAGCAAATTACATAGAAAATGTCGAGAAGAACAGCGGAAGTAAGTAAACACTGGCTGTAGGGGATATTAACACGTAATGCGCCGAGCAGACAACAATAGAGGCGACAAAAGACGCGCAACGGACAGATGAACTGGCTCGACAGCAGCCAATGATATTTCACCTGCTACTGCAAAACTGTAGTCTAATCGACTCAACACTTACAGAATGTGATCTGTTAAAGGAGACGGGAAATTGCCTTATTTTGAATTCAGGAAGCAATTGCATCGCCGGGGACGTGTTTTATTGCAACAATAGCCTGCAGCTAAATTATCTGCTCCCATTAAAACTGGTCGTTTGCAGACCATGGAAGACTCAACTGATTGATCAGGATTCAGTGCTATACCTTATTTTAAATAGGCTTGCATATGTGCACATTTAGGTTAATAGTCTACATGTAGACATTTGTGGTGTTTAAGACTCCTTATCTTTTATCTTAGTTTACGAGATGTTCCTGTTCCCGCAGCTCCTTTCACAATTAGCCTATTCCACAAAAATATCGCATCCACTCCTAAAAACACTGCATTCACGGACCCTGTTGCATATAAAACCGTGATTTAGGTCTTATTTCCCCTAAAAAGAGTCCAATTCCAAGCCCACCTATCATTTTCAGAGGCAGCTGCTGCTTCCTTGTATGTGTTGTTCACATGGTTTCCACATGGAACTAATTGTAAAGTTTCCATTGGTCGGGACACATGTTCCCAGCAGGAGAGTCACAGCACATAGCCAATCACGCGCAGGTTCATGTCTGACATCGTATGTTACTGGGACGGAGGGTTCATGGGAGCTGTAGGCTTTTTTTGAAGAAACAGTGAGAATGGTGTAGAATAGAAATGTGTTTTGAGAAAATATTCTTACTCAAGTCACACAGGATACATAATTACACCCCTAAATGTTAATCATACACTTTAAGTTTAATGGACGTGTTGCCACCATTCACATTCTTAAATGTAATCTACAAGTCAAGCCAAATCAGACCACATCCACCATGCAAATCTCAAGAAGTCTTTCACTTGTAGCACATTTGTAAAAACTGTACAGTCTGTTTAATCCTCTTAATCTTTTTCATCATCAGAATGTGAGCATGGGTATGCTTCGACATACCCTGCAACCCAGGCTGCACATCAACAGAAACAACGTAAATTCAAGAACAGGAAATTGGACAATATTCACAATAGGTAGGTTGACGTCTTGAAAAAGGTCCTCATATTATATGTAGTAGTAATCCATACACATTAATTTGTGTATGGATTTTAAATTCTCCCCGAAACACAATCATCATAAAATCAGTATTGTTGTATAGCATGATTGTTCCACTGTTGCAGCATTAGTAAAATCGATTGTATATTTTGTATTATGCATTATTAAGACTTGTATAACAGTTTTGTGTTTATATTTATAATTTTGGCAGGTCAGCACACAATGAACTGGAAAAAAATAGGTAAGTAAAACAACCACTGAAAAGGTCATTTGTATCCATGTTTATGACAAACTGTCAGTACTGAATTGTAAAGACCACAATGAGGGATATTTTTTTTCTCAATTGCTTTAACATTATATCCAGGCTATTGAACTAAAATTTCAAAACCATAACTCCATTTTTCAAAAAGCACACTCGTTTCTCTAAACCCTACACACAAATCCCTTCATTTCTCATTGCCTACACCATGTGGTCATTGAGAAAACACTGACATTTAATATTGTTCACTCAATCAGCACAGGTTAAACTCAATTAGCACACAGCTACCCAGGTGGAAACACAAACAGTCAAAATTGATAACACACCAATCAGAAGCTTCAGTAGATAGATATAAGGGCCAGAGTCAGTTCATTCAGCTTCCTTCTCAATCTGAAGGAAGACCTAGAGGACACCAGAGAGGAGAAGGAGGAAGATGAGGAGGAGGAGAAAGAGCAGTATGGAGAGGAGGAAGAGGTGAAGGAATAGGAACAGTGGGAATTGGAGGAGGAGATGGGATAGGAGGAAGATGAGGAGTAGGAGGAGGCGGAGCATGAGGAGGGTGAAGGCAGAGGGAGGAGGTGGAGAGGAAGGTGGAGGAGGCAGAGCGAGGAGGAGGAGGGAGAGGAGGAGGTGGAAAACAAGAATCTCTGATCTGTCCCAGACCAAAGACGGGATGCTGGGGCAGGATAATTTGTTGTATTGTACAATACACTAAGGAATAAATGTGCAAATGTTTACATTTGTTATTTCTTTTGTTGTGTTCATCATGTGAACCACAAGCAACATTACTAATAACCAGTTTTTGTAGTATTGTTTTGAATTTATCTCACCAGTGTGTAAAATTGTGTTGTAGTGTGTGTGTGTGTGTGTGTGTGTGTGTGTGTGTGTAGTTTTGAGGACTTGTGTTTTATATCTGGAGGCAAAGTTTGTTTTTTCAGCAATACTGAATGGTTTTGAGTGGAGAGCTTCATTTTGACCTGAGAATAGGTTTGGGGAATTGGGGGAGAAGTTGTGGATTTGTGTTTAGAGTTTCGAGAAAAAGAGGCATAATTTTAAGAAATGTGTTTAAGCAATCGAAAAACTGTGAGTGACATGAAAAAGGAACACGATGAAAATGGTAAAATGTTGTCAGTCATCTTTCATTTCTTTTTTCATCTTATTTCAAGTTAAGTTAAAAATGTGGACTTGCAAAACTCATACAGAACAGGAAGAAAGAATCTCCACAGTATTTAAACTGCTATAGCAAACGAGGAACACAGGGAGCCAGCTGTCTCAAAATGGAGCTTCAAGCTGATAAACCAAAAGCTTTCTCCATTCTGCCATGTTTGCATATCTTGGTGCTATGCTAAATATGTTGACCATACCATTTTATAACGAGATGTACTGCAGCCCTATGAATCAGCTTATTATCATCACAGAACTTCAACAAAAGCATTTTATATTGGACAGCAGTGAACATTTTGCAAGGCAAATAAAAAGGAGGTGTAAAGCACCCTCAGTGGCAACACTGTTCCTGGAGGACGTGCAGATATTTCCCCAGTCAGCAAACGGGAACCGTCTGTTTCCAGACAACAGGGCTCCTTCCTGAGAGATTCTCAGCCGCACATTTAACAGCAGCTTGCTTCTACTGCTTCAGGATGAGGCAGCCTCTGCTTCGAGCAGGAAACAAATGTCAGGACACATTTATCCTAAAATTAAACACCCAGTTAATCTTCAAAAGCTAACCATATGTGTGTAATCTCGGTCTGAGAGGAGTGAGGAGAAAAATGGCATCTTAAAAGCTTATTTCATTTTTTTTTACCACAAAATGGTGGCCAATGCAGAGGGGAGAGATGACATCACAACTTGACCTACATTTTACTCCATTATTTGAAAGGATAGTGGGTATCCTTTGCCAGTTGCTGCATTCGTTGAGACCACAGGCCCAGAGCCCTTAGTGGGTCAGAAACAGAGTATCAGGCTGACCTCAGCAGCTTTTAAATCTGAGGCCAGACAGATCGATACGCATTTGCAAAGGAGTCAGATGTGTGGCTAACTATAAAAATGGATGAGCAGATAAATTATATGCTTGAATATCTTGACTGTTGCATTGCTCATCAAAGATGGATTAATGGTATCATGATTAGAATTCATCACGACCAAAAAGTTGTTGTCAACTTTTACAATACTAATCAAATTGCATAATGCAGCAATATAATCTTGATCAGACTTGATCAGGATTAGTGCAGAGGACAAGAATACAATACTTAGTCTGGAAATTCATCCTACAATTTTCTGTCATGTTTTATTGTTGCATAACATACATTATTCCATATGCTGATCAATCTTTATTGTGTCTCATCCCATAGACGAGCACATCTCCGCCTGTGTTTGGAGAGGTTGAAGTCCCTCATCCCTCTGGGACCAGACTGCAGTCGGCACACCACACTGGGACTGCTCAACAAGGCCAAAGCACATATCAAGGTGTGGTAGTCTAAGGCAGCCCCTGTAGTATGGCAGCGCCACAGGATTGATTCTGTCAGATTATGAGCTCAAAAGTAATGAAAAAAACACATTTACATACTACTACTTTTTCCTGACTGGCCACGTGTTAATGGTTAGTAACACCAGTTTGGGAAAGTCGCAGTAGTAGCATAATCATTCAGTCATGATGAAATGGGTCTTTTTTACAGCAGACATTTTGACTTGCAGTAGGAAAAAGCACAGGTGTTACTATTAACATTAACAATGGCTCTGTTGTACCAAGGACTTTGGTTGTACTCAAGTGTCCCAGTAAGCCGTAACAGTATGACAGTGATACCTGGACCCTGAAACCAAAGCAGCCAAATGGAATTCAGCCATAGTTCATGTTGATTATTTGCTTTCCTGATTTTCCTTCTGTGTCAAAATGTCATCAGTGAAAAAGGCCTGTTGCTTGCAGTGTTTCATTATGAACATTTATCGCTTTGCACATTGTTTTGAACAAACACATGTGCCAAATGAATAAATGTAAATCTATGTATTTGTACATAATTGAGTTTTACACTCACAAGGCAAAAGTTGTGTCACGTATTCCTAGAATTAAGAAATATCTGGCTGCTCCCTTGAGTGAAAAAGGGTTCATGTCATATTGACAGCAAATATAGATCTGCAGTACTACAGAGGATGACTTTGGTGTACTGGGGAGAGTCCTAGTGTCAATTTGATTCCTTTGTGACACCCAATGTGAATCCATAGTGATGGCTCACAAAACGAAAGCCTTACCAGTCAATAGACTGATCCTGTGTTTTATTTTTTATAACAAAATTGTATTTAAGTGTCCTAGCTCTCACTCTTGGTGGTCTGTGGTTTCTCCTTGAGGTACAGTCTGCTGTGCTGATACTTTACTGTCCATCAGGCAGGATCACGGTGCAGCTCCACTACAGAGATAGTTCAATATTTAGCCTGAAATCCATGTGAACTTTGAAATTCTAGAGATTGTTTGTATATTCAACACTTGTTCCCGGATGAAAGGTGCTGGTTAATAAAGACAGTGCTCCTGCTCGTTTTGTAATCATAGCTGACACATTATAAACATCAAGAGAAAAGAGGAGGTCTGGATTTTCTACCCCCCCCCCCCCCCCCCCCCCCATGTCTAAAATAAAGATTTATTTATGGCAAACTGATGCCAGTTTAGTGCTTAATTGTCACTCAATCATTATGTACAGCAACAGAGAAGTTAAGGGTTTTCCTCATGCACTTCTAAACAGTTACTCTTCTCAGAACCAGCAGATGGAGAAAGTGCACCTTAAGGCACTTTGGCCTCAATATTAGGATATTATGGTTGCTGCTTGGTTAGTTCAGTTTTTCTTCCCCTTTGAACAAATCTCCCTTTGGCGGTTGCCAGGACTGCCCTTTGCTGGATTTTGAGCATGGTCAGTCTTTGATTAGGCCTTGCGTTTGTCACACTACAGGATATTGTGAATAGTGGACTGACCATTGATCTTAAGAGCACCAGATCTGTCCTGGTTGTAAGAACTGCCTGCCTGAATGGACCACTGAGTGGATCAGAACTACATGGGACTGACAATAGACACAAATTATTTTGTAGCTTTAAAGCGTCCAAGACTTAACGCTTTGCCTCCCCTGATGGCTTCAGTCAAAGCTAGATAAGAATTTTTTTTGTTGTTGTTGTTTCCAACCATATATTTCTATTGGATTTTCTTAAGCCCAGCTCCAGCAGTGGGGAGCGGTCAGGGATGATTGAGGACTGCAATAGAAACAATCCTGGCAACAGTCTGTGGGAATTTATCATAGTGGGGGGTAATGGATAAAGTACCTATGATGTCAACTGTTGACTTTGGACTTGTCTGTCCAGGAAATGTGGCTTCTGATTGCTGCTGTGTTATATTTTTGTAACCAGAGGTTGTGTATGAGAGGAAAAGGGTTGTGCAGGTGCAGCCAGAATTAAGCTTACGGCCGCAGGAGGTAAAAAAACAAACAAAAACACCACGTATTGTGCTACAGGAAAGGCATGGATAAGGATTACTCTCCCTTGTATTGAGGCTAAACTCCATTCAAAAACCTGGCATTTTACTGCATTTTTGATCATTTCAGCACTTTGTTCCTACAAGTCCGATCTTATATAATTTATTTTCACAGACACATGGTATGGTGAATTTATTTGTATGAGAGGATAACAGTTGAAATAATTACTAACATTTTAGTGATATACAAGCAAATGGTAGTTCATATTTATGTAAATTCAAATATGGCTCATAACCATAAAAGCATCTTTAAACAGACATATTTTAAGAAATATGGGCCTTCATGCAAATATCTCCCTCATGGCGCAGTCATTTAGAGAATCAACATGGGAGACATTAGAGGAAATGAACCATGCCCTGCAGCTGATACAATACAGCATGTGTCACTGTGAAAAACTACAATGTCTTTTTTTAACTGAATCTCATAAAGTTGTGAAATAACCAAAATCAATATCCATTTTACAAATATCTCTATCTTTATTTGTCAGCCACTTCTGCGACTTGAAATGAGTCTTTATTTGTGTTGGTATATCCAGCTGTACAGACACAGTACAGTTTGTTTTTTTTCCATCAGGAGTGAAGTTCAACAACTGGCTCCCATGCAAAATGTTAAGACCTATTACTATGCTACTTCAATAGAATTAATTAGTTAATTATTTAGGGCTCGATCAGATTTGATGATTGTGTGAAGTGACTGGATTCCCTTATGATTATTGAGGTTCATAGTGCATTTTCAGGACTTTGGTTATTTGTTAGCTAAGACAGGAACACTTTGAGTGAGCTGTTTGTGAGTGTTGTTTGACACAAACAGGCTTTAATTAAAATTACTATTGAAAATTACAAATAAACCAACATGCTATGTATTTAGTTGTAATAAGTTCACCATCCTCTCATGCATTCATCAATCCATCCATCGTCAGCCGCTTATCCTGCATACAGGGTTGCGAGGTGTAAACATAATGGTGTGATTTAATACAAAATAATTCATGCAATCAACCAATTATGGCACACTGGATCCACACACACTGATTGTCTTGATTGTCTTTAGGTTTCGACGTAACAACAACACAGTTAACTCATCTGCGGTTCCCTCTCTTCAGAAACTTGAAGAGAATGACCGGAGGAGTCAGCACCAGCTGGAGACCTTAGAGAGGGAGCAGAGGCACCTGCAGAGGCAGCTAGCACAGCTGCAGACTCACGGAGAGTGGGAGAGGGTCCGTATGGACAGCCTGGGCTCCCGCGTGGACTCTGAGCGCTCAGATTCTGAGAGAGGTTAGTGTCCGAATCACAGCCAGGTGGAAAAATGTTTTAGTGTCATTAGCGTTTTATGCTTCTAATGCTAATGTATTTGTTAAAAGTATTTGTCGCCATATACATTTGGGCAAGCACAACTGCAAATATTTACACTTACATGTTTCATTTAATCTGTATTTATTTGCATTTTGTTTTTGTTTTCGAGCAGAGGAGATTGAAGTCGATGTGGAAAGCACTGAGTTCTCCCATGGAGAAATGGACAGTGTAATCACCAGTGGTGCAAGTGACCTGGATGACCACAGCAGCCGGCAGAGCTCAGCCAGTGATGAGGGTTACTCCACTTGCAGTCTAAAACTGGCCTTCTCTGCTTAAAACACCAGCCTATACTTTCACTTCAGCTGCAGTCTTTAATGGCTTTCACCTTTCAAAGTACCAGCCTACAGCTCCATTCTCCCTCGCAGTTTAGGTTAACTGTCCTCAGAAGAACCAGCCTCAATCCCACCTGTACCTGACAAATGAAAACGTTTACTTCACCCCGAGAACCAGCCTTAAGTTCAACTCAGTCTAAAAGTTTAATATGTCTCCCTCCAAAAGCCAAGGGGCTCCTCTACATCAGTCTGACACATTTTACACAACAGCCTCAAATTGAACTTCTGTGGCAATATATGGTTTCCTCATTTTCAAAGTTGACTTAACCAATCACCTGAATGTCCCGTTACCCAGTACCAGCTTGAACTCAATACTGATCCTGTAGAGGACCCATGATCGCACCGGTGTCCAACACTGAAGGGGAAACTACCTTTAGTCAAGTTGATCCTCTGAAACCAGCAAAAACACAAACAAACCCAATACCAGCTAGAAGCTCACCATTGGGAACGTTTGCTCCATTTGCCTTGTAAAAACATTGGCCTTGGATAATATATCCAGACGACACTTCTTATCAGTGTACAAGCCAGTGGCAAGGGCTACAATGTCTGCATTCCAAAATGTTTATTACACTTCTATAACCTCTGCTTTAGGACCCACAAACCATCACTGATACATGTGGCGTCCCTCCTCTTGACTGAAATCCAGTCATATCCAAACAGGTGGTGCAGTCCACCCTTGTTATTCTAATTTATTTTGCATATAATTAAAGTATTTATTTTTGGTATATTTAATTTTACTGTAGCTAGCTATTGGTCAGTTTGAATGGAAAAAAAAAAACTCTTGCTCTTAAAATAATTTTCATTTTGTTTTCATGTTTACCCAATTTCTTGATATGAAATTAATTCCCACTGAAACATACGCAGTGCTACAGGTTTAACGCATTACTCAATGTTGTTTTGTTGAAAGAATGACACATCTTTCACACTGTGCGCAAATTCAGTTTTATTTAGACAGTAATAAGCTATCCTCAAGCAATAATGCATCCGGTTTTTAGCTCATCTTTGATGTTGGCTGTTCAGCACACTACTCTGTCCGTCCGACACCAAATTGGAGTTTGCTAGTTTTCCACTTGCTCCTCTAGTGCTATCAGTTATTAATAATCAGCAGTAAAAATGATTGTAATTGATTTTTTCTTAAAAAAATAAATAGGGTGCATGTGTGTTGAATGTAGCTAATCACGTTGTAATGTGCTTTGGATTGACAAGTCTTAGATGTCTGTAGCATGAACAACATAAACACTACAGAATACAAACTTTGGTTTGTACTTCAATGTTTAATGCTGTATCTTTTTTGTATTGTAGCACAGAAAGTACGAAGTTCAAATCCTTGATATTTGGAGGCTTCCCATTAATAATTCAATTTATATTTGACACATATAATTGCACTGCTGACCTGTCTGAATCCGCCAAATTAGACAATTCAATAAGACCATTTATCTGCATTTTTCTGTTCCAAGTCTTGAGTAGATCTCCACCAAATTGTGTCTTAACATGGGTATATGACTCTTGCACAAAGTTCCTTGTTACAGGTCTTCCCCCCCTCCCCCAACCTGTTTGGGAAACTATAAAATGCACTATGAAAGACTTTTGTTGAGGAAGCATATTAAAGCACACCCCAGAATGTTTTCTCGTGCTTAATCAGCCATCCAAGGTGACTTTTTTGCAAAACATGTGCTGCTGGTCCCCTGCTAGTACTTTGTTACAGTTCCTGATAACTGTCCCTGGAATCTTAATAAACCTCTACCACCCAGATATAAAGCAATGTTGTCTTTCTGTTCAGATAATAACCTTGAGTCTCTTGTATTACACTGACATACTGTAGCTGTTGCCCAGTTTGTTTGTTCAAAGAAAACAAGTATCACACATAAATCAATCAGGTCTGTAGCTAACACTGTCCAATAAGCATTTTGAACTAACAAAGGCGAACATGTCAAACAAAAACTCATGTAACTTTAATGGCAAAACAGTATTAACAGTTGCAGCATGCTGCTCACGTAAATGATTTATTAATAATGGTCTTTATAAGAGTCTTTACTGCCACCTACAGGACCTGACAGACACACAATGAAAATACAATGAAGAAATAGTCAAAATGAGGTGGAAACAATTGTTTAAAAAAAACCCTGAAAAACAAAACAATGTTTATTTCACTGTTACATATACAGAAATTAAAATGTAAATTCAGCCATGTCAAATCAACACCATTATTAAATGCCAAGACTCCCCCCAACAATGGATCAGTGTTTAGAATCCAGCTTTGAATTTCCACACCACATCTACAGGTGTATATTTTATACACACATCTTAGCAGGTATTTGGCCTCGGTGGAACCTGGACACAAACTCTACAGCTTTTCTACAACACCACTTCCTGTTCTTACATAACAGGTGACCTTGTTCCAGTGCAGGGAAAATCCCCTCTGTTTGAAATTTTGTTGTTGTACCTACATAATATATAAGAAAACTACATCAATATTTTAAACAACGGTGTGTAAGCAATTCCTTTCAAAGCTTTCTTTACTTGAGAAAGTTAAATCATGTATAAACACAACAGAAAGCACTGATACAGGCAGTATACAGTGGATTTCTATATACAGAATATATCAGGTCACTGTGGCATTAGATGTCTGACATTGTATTTTGATGTGTCATGGTACTGGGTCATAGGCTTGTCTGCAATACCACATGTTCCCACTCCCACCTTCCCGTTTACGCTTTCTGGAGATGCAAATATGCTCCTCTTCACCTGCAAAAAGAGAAAAGCTATTATGAATTATCTGAAATATATAACTTATTGGACAACTTTTTCTAGGAACACACACACACACACACACACACACACAGCAGTAATGCATGGGCAGTGTGCTGCTAGTTTCAAGTTACCTGGCCCTCCAGTCACATACCACGCTGCAGTATGCAATACCAGTGCAGTGTGAAATTAAGGGTGTGGATGAGCTAGTGGGTGAAGTGGCTCAATTTCTACTCTGATGTCTGGCAACTTTCTGAATTTTAAATCAAATTCCACATCATATAAATTTCGAGTTTGCCACTTCAAAATTCATGCAACTGTGCTTACATCCTGGCTGTACAAGCTATATAGCTGTATAGCGGTTGGATCGACGATCGAAGGGATGAAGGATTACGACTATTTTTTCATGCGTCAATATTAAGGCAATTTTAATTAACTCACTATCAGAGCTAAGATGACATAAAAACAGTCTTTAGATTCTACACCACACTGCAGTGTTTCCCATTCACTGATTTATTTGTTGTGACACGACACCCCACAATATCAACGCTGACCGCCACATACTATATACTATTTAATATCAGTAAAATCATAATTTATTGTGGAGCTGTGCGCAGCGCATAGATTCGCTCAGCACCTCCGTTCACTCCCTCTCTCTAACAAATACATTGAAACTGAGCTGTGCATATATAGAAAAACTAAAGCATTCAAGTTAACTCTGAGAAGTTAGTCTATTTTCTTAACACAACTCTGTCAATGTCAGAGACCCACCTCCAAATAAGTTAAAAGAAAGGAGCCTAGCAACATTAACGTTAGAATACAGCTGGGTTGTCGAGGTTTGCACGCTGTCCATAGCAGCTAGTCAACATCGATTGCACGACTCTCCTCCGTGCTCAGCGCCACAATACAGTAATACATTTAAAGATGTTTCTGTTGGTTTCTCTAAATAAGCCGATTTCTTCCATGTTGGCATTTCACTGGCATGCTGCAACGTAACACCGCCCCCTGGTGATCACATTGCCGATCTGTGATCTCATATAGCCATAATGAAGCAATATGAAAACAGAGAAGATCGCCCAAGCCTAGTCCAGTAGGGGTCTTCCTATAACATACTGGTTTAAATAAAGGTTTTATGACACCCGTTAGGAGACTGGTTATTGTACAGCTTAATGCTCCTAATTACATAGCTGGTTACTTTTTCTGTTGCGGCATGGCCATTATATACCACAAATGCTGATTAAATAACCCAAAATGCAGATTGCTGTGTGTCTCTGTAGTAGCTAGCATCTCTCCACATGTCTCCCTTTGTGAACTTAATTTCACTAAACATCAAATGTAGGGCTGGGCCATTCGGCCAAAAATGTTTTCACGATAAAAGACGTCCATATCATTTGATATCAATAATTATAACGAGAACTGTCAAATCATTATTTCTTTCAAATTTAAATGCTGATTTTTGCTCCTGAGTGAAAGTTGAAGAAACCAGATGTTTAACTGTTACACTTGATGCCAAACAGTGGAACATTTAACAAATCAGAGGTAAAACCTGCTAAAATCTTTTTTTCAACAAACGCATGAGTAAAATTAAGTTAAATCTGTTTTCGGGCCCTTTTCCTCTACACACTACATATCTTTATAGAAAAAGTGCTAGTCTGTTCGCGTTCTTAAATGAATTAAATCAAACTATTGTTTTATTGCCCAGCCCTAATCAAAGGTTAATTATAGATCTACATCATTGTAAACATTCAAACCAGCTGTGTTATTTGTACTTCCACTCATAGTGAGCTATAACTATTCCACAAGTCTCTCGCAATTTGAAAAGATAATAGCCAAATCAAATTTTAAACCTAAGTCCGATCAATATTTCATTAGTGCTCTCTCATTATCACATTCTCCAGCCCCGGAGCGCAGAGGAGAGGGCCAGATTGCAACTGCCAAAATCCTCATTGGCAGTAGAAAGGCAAGATTACGTCAAACAACATTAAAGAATTGTCGAACAGAGAGCTAGAAGATATTATTTAAAACTAAACACACTGTTTGTATCACCAAGTACATTTTTAGTTATTATATAGTTTGTGTGTGTAAAATCGCTGCAGTGAACATGGCTGTGCTGCCAGGTGGACAGAGAGCATCGAGACACCACGGTAGAGCCCACACACCGACTTCTCACCTTGATTAAAGGGCCCGTGCAGACTACACAACTTTCAGCATCGGTCGATGGCCATGCCGTTCAAACTATACAACTTGCCGTCGTGTGATGGGAATCTTGAAGTCGTTGTGGCGTTCACACTACGTGACTGATCAGTGACAGGGGGTCACACACTACATGAGCTGACAACGGCTGAGTCACACGGCGCTCGTCTCCAGACCACGTTTGGTCAAGGAAACATGTGAAACGGGAAATGGCGCAAGCCTACAGACAAAACCGCTGTTGTTTGTTATTATAAAGACAGCAATTATAAAGAATCTGGGTGAAAGAATGGATTAGCACACGCATCAGGAATCGTCTGAGCTATAAAGAGAGCTGGAGGGGAGTAAAAAGTGTTTTGCAGTGAAAAAGTACTGCTCTCATTGGCTGGATGTGGATGTCGAGTCGGCCGACTGCGCCAGATATCTGGCATGCTAGATATCTAGCAGACGTCGGCGATGTGTCAGAAATGTGTCAGGAAGCAGTTGTGACACGGCGTTGAGTAGTTCACACATATTCACACACGTTGCTGAGCGGCAAATCGGGCTACAAATCATGTAGTGTGAACCAATGATGATGGCAGGTTAATATGTTGATTTAGATTCTCTAGAGCCGTGATCTTGAATCTGTGCTGAACTGGTCCAGTATTTGACAGACCAACCCAACAAAGCCGCGCCATCCCGGTACAAATATAAGTAGGCTACTAACCAATCTGAGGTTTCTGGCAACAGTCTGTTATCAGGGGGGATTAGCCTATAGGTGTGTGTTTGATATTAACAACAAGATATAATGTTTACCCTTTCTGCCTAAAGTCCCTTTTGTAAATGTAAACGTACTTTATTGTCACATACACATACATGTAGTGAAATTCATCCTCTGCATTTAACCCATCCCTGAAGGGAGAAGTGGGAGGCTGTACAGCGCCCGGGGACCAACAGCCATGCCAGGTCAAACGGCACTGACTGGAGAACCTACCCAACATGTTTTTGATGGTGGGGGAAACCGGAGCACCCGGAGAAAACCCACGCAGACACAGGGAGAACATGCAAACTCCACACAGAAAGACCTGGGCCACCGGAGTTTGAACCCGCAACCTTCTTGCTCCACTGTGCCGAATAACTGTTAAACACTGCATTTTCTTTTGCTTGTGATCACACTGCTGTGGACATCAAACAATATGTCGTTTCTAACCTCCACCTCACAAGTGCTGCAATTTCTGTCTTCCTCTTGGTTGCTGTTGCCATGATTCACAGTAAGCAGGCTCATTTATGTGCATCAATATTTATGAGGTGGCATTGCATCAACCATTTATGGTTGGATGTGTCTACATGTGCACATTTCCAGGTGGACTGTGATTTATAAAGGGAATGTTGCATGCAGATGTGTGTAATAATGGTTTTATAAACTGGATTTTGTGTGAACGTACACTTTTAGTAAAGATCCTTCGCACTGTTTTATAAATGAGGCCCCAGATCACCTGACCTTGTGCCTTAAAGGATAGCATGTTTTGCCAATTTTTCTACTGTCGCAGAGCTACTGCCTGGCTAATTTAAACATAAATCCTATTGCGGGGATTCACTACAGAACAGCATCTGTGAAAAATAACATCAAGCAAAAAAGTCGACACGTACAGTATATAACCACTATCCAATGTGTTTGCTTAATGCACCGCAGGTTTCCCCAGGACTACTATCAAATGAGTTCAGGTCTGTATAAAAAGAAATCGTACCTGTCCTTTCTTGTTCTTTGAGTAGGCTTTGTTGTTGAACTGTTGCCACTTTGACTTTTGCTCCTCCCTCTCTTGCTCCAATTCCTTCATCCTCGCTACCTTCTTCTGGGCTTTCTTCTTCTTATACTCTCTCTGCTCTGCTATCTGCTCTTTCCTAAAAAAACAGACAGACAAAGAAGACAAACATTTAAACCCTGCCCACAAGGTGCAAATACAATCACATACAGGTTATAACCAATATGAAATAACATGAATGAGTCCAACACGGGCCTGCATGATATTGGAAAAATTACATTGCGATGTCTTGTTTACCTGCAAGATATACCGTGACTTGGAAAAAAATATATGCATTGCTGAAAGATTTTTGTTCATACCTTGACTTTGGCTTATCGTCATCAGAGCGTTTCCCCTCCTCTACTGCTTTGAGGTTCTGCAGAGGAATCACTTCAGCATTCCCATATCCAGAGAAGGTCACGGCTGCAGTGCCGTTCTCTCGGTCTATCTCCTCAATCTCAGCCTCATACACCCTGCCAAAGAATCACGTCTGTAAGCAGGTGAGTATGAGCCAAAAGACTCAAGCTCTACTTAATAAACAGAGCTTAACACTAAAACATAATACTTAAAGATAAGTGAAGTGATATGTGACTATAGGATATTCATTGAACATTTTCTATTTTTACAAGTTACTTCAAGAACATTAATTTCCCACAGAATGACTTTTGTTCCACTTAAGGCCAATTTTTACTTCTGCGTCGAGTCTATGTCGTAGCCGGCAACGTAGGCTACATTCCATCGTGAGCATTTATACTTATGTGTTGATGTCTGTGTCACTCTACGATTACACCACCACCCTACTTGGCAGAAGGGTTTCTACGTTCCACAGTGTTGAGTTTTTTCTTCTTTGTTGGTGTGGGCTACTACAAACAATGGCGATGGAAACTGAGTGGATCCTGCTGGAGTTGGCACTGTTCGATGTTGAACAGCGCACCGTTGAATTGTTTGAGGCAGCCGGAAATGCATAAGAGGAAATGCAAGGCTACCTAGCCATGCAGAGAGCGTAGATTTGAAGCAGAAGTATAAAATGGCCATAAAGGTACACAAACACACATCAAACTAAAATTAAAGTTGGTTGTCTCTACAATTGTTAGGGAAAATAAACATATGGTCTTTGTGGTGCGGTTGGTTTAGGCAACAATATAACATTTACAATACGGGACTGAACTATACGATAGAGAGCCAATGACTGGCTTTTCTTTAGGGCATGCCTCAAACAATTAGCATGGATACACCAACCTAATCTATAAAATCACTACTCTAATTCAGATAAAGAATTCAAATTGAACTGAAATAAGGCATTAGGTTGCATGTAATGTTTTTATGAGAAGAGGCCGGTAATACTCACTGTCCATCCTGACTCCACGTAGCCATACACCTGTCCCCCACTTTCCAGCCATGCTTCAGGGGAACTCTCTCTGAGCCATTGGTACTGGAAGCACTCTCGGCGGGCTGTGAGGTCAGGAGGTCTTTTGTCAAATCGATGACTTCCTGTAGAAGAAACACATTCAAAAGGAGGTCAGCGGTCTCACACAGGCAATTTTTCCAAAAAGTATTTGTTTGTGAATGAGGATGTTTATTCTTAAAATGCACAATAAGTAGGATTTTCCTAAATAACACACATACAAAAAAAACTATGTATAGACCTGTTGTATATCCACAAATAATAAACAAATGAACTTTAATTCAGTATCCTAATGTTTAAATATACTGCAAAGATGAGTATACATCTCAAAGTTGCTTGCATCGCTAGTAGTAGCCTGTTAATGAAGCAGTGTTTTTGTTTTAATCTGTGACTTGTTAGATCATCATTGTGATATAACCATACCATGATTATTTCCACAGTATGGAGAAAAAGCAGGAAAACACATCCTTATCTATATCGCTGGCTATTTTCTGTACTTTTCCTGTCCAGTCATGATCAACAAAATTAATTTAGCCACTTTTGACTCGCCTCTTTTGGTTTTCCATTGGAGTATATGGTACCTGGTATGTTTTTTGATATTACCTCCGTCAAGGTTCCAAACAAGCTGAGGCGATACCAAAAGGTGACATAAAAACAGTGCAGACAACTGACTGGTCAGAGAGAATAGACAACAAAACCATGTCGGAAATAACCTAGCTAGCAGCTGGTGTGCAGCTAGTGCTGTGGTGCGTTTACAGCTTACCTGATTTGATCGATGATATGGTGCATAAAACTGATTTATTGACATACAAGAGGTGTTGGGCACCAGGCTGTCAATGGACCCTCCTGTTGTGGTTGCATCTTTTGTTCCTGATGCTAATTCCATAACAATTCGTATGGTAAAGTTTAAAGGCTAGCTACAATTACGTTATTCATTTATATGTATTTGAACAATGCTATGTAGCCTGAAGTGTTATTGATTATTTATCATTTGATATGGGAAAGGTAGTGTACATATGACATTGTTATTGATGATACGCCAGTGTCTTATTTCCTTGGTAACACTATATATTAAGAATAAAATTCATATGCTAATTATCAGAAGTCATTGCATGAATTAATTTTAAAAACACTTTTAAAGTGTTACCCATAAGTTCTTCTCATTGCTTTGTTCTCTTAGGAGATTGTTGAGCCCACAAGTCCAGACTCAGCCGGTACCTTTCTAGCCTCAAACCCTTTACCAAAAACAGAAGGGGAAGAAGACTAACCCTACTGTATATTTTCTAATAGAGGAAAGTGCTAAAGAGCAAAAGCGGCATGAGGAGAGTGAGGCAAAAATCATGAGGTTCTTACTGTAAAATCAATTTTCATCTTCAATTATTAGCAGAATCCCAAATAGCCACCTACCCCATTTACTGGCATGGTGTGGGAACACATTTTGACAAATAAACGCAGGTCTCGCTTAGATGCCTGGTCTTTATATAAGTTCTTTAGATGTATAAAACCCCTTAAACCTCGCCGGGTCTCCCACTTTAGCTGCTTAGATTGTTAATACAAATATTAATGTTTAAACATCTGATCATTATGTTAGGACATGCTACACATGTTAGATTCTTCACAAATAAATCATTCAGTTCATTTAAGAGAAATGAGCCCCAAAGTCTAATTCATAAAGATCAGGGGTTGGAAACCTATGGCACGTGTGCCAGCGTGGGCACACACACACATTTTAAATAGCACATGAGAAAGAAAACTCAATCCTACAATATTGACATATGCCACTGCGTTGTTTAATATTACATTAAGTTAGTGACGTTATTATTAGGGTTTTCAAAATGATAGAAATATAGAAAAATAACACCTAATATTTTAACGCAGGATTAGTCAAAGTGGGGTACTTTATGATCCGTGACCGGGCCTGCCGACCTGCTGGTCAGCTGCTGTCTGTGTGTCTGTGAGAGTAGGCCAAACTAAAACATTCAAATCTGAGGGGGAATACGAGCGGCCCCTCCCAACTTGGACTGATCCTCGTTTTTGCTGTAATCTGATTGGCTCAACGGCGCCGATCAAAGGAGTTTACTTTCCATCCGGTTTGTGTGTAACAGAGACGGTAAATATGGTGAAAAATTTTGGCATAAGAGGCACTTGTAACTATTTTAGCCTTCTGACTGACTGTACACATGACATGTTGGTAGTTAACAGTATACTGTGACTTAAGTTTTAACCAGGCTTGACCTGGTCTTGTTCAGAGCAGTGGTGACTTGCTTATTCAAACCAAGGAGACAGGTGTCACTTTTAAGTTTCTTGAAGGTCTTCAATACCACAAAAACACTATTAGAATTTAAATAATAATTGTTGCTGCATTGTTTTTGGATGTGAACAGAGAAAAAAAGGTTGTGAATGTATGGGAAATAAAGATGTTTAGCTAAATAAGTTTATTATCATTGATGCACTCATCTACCAAAATCTATTTCAATTATATATATATATATATATATATATATATTTATTATTTTAAATGCTTATCACGGCAAATATCGATATATGTTATTCAATTCGATTCATTCGAAGTTAGATAAATTTCGCTTCACAGCCCTATTTATTATATGTCTATTATTATTAACACGGTCAAACTTCAATTCAAATCTGACTATCAGTTAAATTTCAGTCAGTTGAAATTATCTGTTAAATTTAATATAAATTTTAATGTAATATAATGCTGTACTGGTTTTGAAATTGTTTTTCTGCTTGCACCACACAAGTTCCTGTTGCGATGATTGATGTTTACATTGGAACACAGGGCTTATGGTTGATGTGTTTTTCACTAGAAAACAAGGAAATTTCTGAGCGTTGCATGACAAAGAATAGCAGTATATATAAAGTGTATTGCTGGTATTAATTGGTTTACAATATGGTTAATTTAGTTTGATTTGATAAGCATTTGTTTTAATGTGAAAATGTGGATCAGATGAACAGAAACAATTGACTTAATACTACTGTTACTGTTGTATCTGATTTGCTTTAATACATGATTTAATCATCTCATTTAGCTAAGTATTTCAACCACTAATTGACTCTGACATTTGTTCAATGCACTTGTTTAACTTTCACTTTACACATCATTTTCATCTATTTCATATGTTACCCAACTCCTTGATTATAATGAGTAATATATGGTTTAATGTTCATATCAGGAGTGCATTTGCAGATGCAGGCAGGCAACTGTCATGAGTAGCATATTTGGTGTGATATGAATAACATGCCAGTCACAAAGTATTTGACATGCTTTGCCTGCATAGACACCTTAAGACATCCAATCACAAAAGGACATGTCTGCATTAATAGTAGAGATCAACCAATCGTGGATGATCCAAAGCAGTCACATCCTGTCTGTCTTATCTATATAAAATTGCAGTTTTTGGAATTATAGAGAAGGACGAAGCTATTCTTTTTCTTTCGCTGAAGTGTACTTTATTTTAAGTGAACAGCTCAAGGTACGAAAGAGTAGGACTTCAAGGACTATTATTTTTCCCCCTCCTGAGCTGAGTGAGTAATTTCGCACTGCTTACACATCTCATACTGACAAAACTTGATAACTTGTTAAAAGGAGTTCATACCATACTGTGTCACCTCTACTCCCAAGGGGGAGCAGGAGAGAAGGGCACCTGAGGTTGGACTGTGAGAGCAGGTGGACCAGAGCCTGGATTTGGAACCAGCCTGTCATCAGGTCCCTCTCCTGACCGTATTTAGGAGGAAAGTATGCTATTGAAGAGTAGGACTTCCTACGAGACTCATAAAAATAATTCCTCTCAATGTGCTGTGGTGTCTGTGTCTGCAGAGACCCTGCCCCGTGCCTGTATTTACTTATTCTGCTGTGTTCAGTTTCTAGCCATCAACGTCTCTCACGGTCTCTGACTTCAGATCTCAATCCTCTGCTTCATTTTCCCTTTCCCCGGAGGTAGTCAGGTACACCGATCTTGAGTCGCTGCCTTATGTAGGTGGTACACTACTGTGTTCTGGCAACCATGGTCAGGGTACATGTGCTTCTGGTGTTGCTGAGCCCAACCAAATTTGAATGTTATGTTTACAAACCACAGCCAACAAATCCTACTCATTCAGCCTTTAAAATTTAAGAATATAGTTCAACATAATTGAACATTATCAGGAAGCCTACAGAAATGAAGAAAGGTCTTATGGTTTACATTCGCGTAGGCAAGTGAAAACCTAAATGTGAAAGTTTTAAGCTGTAAAACTCAAGTGGAACTTGAACGACACAAACGCAGATCGGTAGTTTTCAGAAGTAAAATATTTTGGTGCCATTTAATTTCAATACTAAGTATTCTGTAGTACGTTAAATTCAACGATTGTGTATTCAGTCGCTTATTGTTTTAAATTATTGCAGACTTTGTTAGCCTTCAAACGAATCCAGCACTGAGAAATACGCATCTTAAGTGGTGAGAGTATCCAACATGTATCTCATTCACACAAAAACACAAACCTGTAAGTCTTTCTGTAATTTAAGGAGGTCTTCATTTTCTGGGTCAGTAGATAACGCAACTTCTACTTGCTGAAGCTGGGCTTTGTAGCTGTTTAACTGTTTCACCAGGTCGTCCGACATCTGTGTGTTGACAAAAAGACAGTTTGCAGAAAAGTTAGCTAGCTGTGATGTTTACTCGGATTAGCAATAACAATCACATATTTTGCTCATGTATTAAATGCAAAATGAGTGAAACATTGGCTACTCAAAATGTTAATGAAAAACACGATATAACGTTAGCCAACCTAACGTTTTGTCACAACATCCACGTTAGCTTAACGCTAGAAGAGTTAGCACAATCCCTCGGCCCTCTTTCGTCGACGTAAATTTAACGTATAACAGCTAATGCTAATTACGAGCGGCCGAGGGGCAATCACAGAAATTACAGTGTTGGTGTGTAAACTTACCTCGCTATAACTGCCCTTAACCAATAAATACCGTAAGCATTCAAATCTCAACTCAATACTCTGTCAAAACGGCTGCTAAAAGGACAACAGTACGCTCTCCTTCTCCACCGAAAATAGTCAACCGGAAGCCAGTGAAAGGCTTTCTCGCGATACCAAAGCTGATCACGTCAAATACAAAGGAGAGCGGCTCGTTAGCGTCCCCAATGGCACTGCTCGCAATAGTATCTTCACTCTGCTGTTCCCCGAGCCATTTACAGGATTGTTCAAAAGGGATTGCAATACGAAAGATTGAATTGCCGTACTAAGGAACCAGAGCAAAAAAAAATAAAATATACCGTGTAGTTTTACCTCTTAAGGTAAAAAGTATTTAATTCGAACAGTCAGATGGGGAACTTATGTTGAACTGCTCAAAGACACAAAAATTGACATGGTCTCAAATACACATGGCTTTGTATTAAGCGGCTTGTGGGTCTGGGTGTGCTTCTATCTTTAAACAATAACTCTTATAGCAAACCTACAACAAAACGCACTAGACCTTGCACTTTAGTATGAATGTAAGATGACTACAGTGAGGCACAGAGATTCATCAGACACTAGGACGTGAATATGTCTCTTTATAGTTACAAAACCCTTCAGTACTCCTAATGAATAATCATCAAGTTATTAGTACGAAGTACAGTAAAATATGTGTGCTGAGTGATGAACAAAATCACATAACAATCCTAAATTAGATAACTAAAAATGCATGGTTAGCATGCTTTAAATTAATTAAATAAAGCTAGATGGTAAAACAATATAATGCAATGGAAATCTCTCATTAGAGTGGTGGAGAGTAAAAAGAAATTCTTTTATTCTTTTTAGGCATGTTGCAAAAAGCATCACAATCAAACTCCTCACTACCGATAGCCTACTGTCAAACAATAAGTAAAACTTTTTTTACAATAGTTTTGTAAAAAAACAAAAACAAAAAAACAACAACTAATAACTAATAAAACAATAGTAATATGATAGACAAAGTGGCTCCCCGCACTCACTTCGATTTATTCTACTCTCTTACCAGGACAGCAAACATTTGTCTGGCTGAAATCTTTATTCCTGCAAATAATCTGCTCTTGCTGTTCTCTTGTACTAGTGACTAATCTCTGCAGTAAATGGCTCCGATCATCTCCACAGAAGCAGACATTATTTCAAGCTATTTTTCTTTCAGGATAGATCTGAACATTTTGTTCATGAGGTAGAACTGCAAACCCACACAGAGTGTACTCTTAATCCATTGTAATTTCATAAACTGCAGATATTACTTCTATAAATCAAAAATATTGTTAATGTCATAATCAGCCAATGGTTTTAGGGTCTGGGAGCAACACCAAATTGCTTTTAAATCTCCAGCAGCAGATGAACTCCGCCCATTCCCGTTCTCACTGATGTAGAGCCAGCATCACAGATCCTCAGCGTCAGATCAAGCCCATATAAAAGACACACTCTCCACTTCAGCCACAACAGATGAAAAGATCTGCCTGAGCCAGCACTGTCTGCAATGTAAGTCTGCTTTATGAAATGTCTTCCAAGGGACTTAACTGAAGTCTTTATTCAAAAAAGGTTGGTGGATGAAGAATTATTTTTTAAAGAATATATCTATTTTTTAAAAAATCTTCTGATGTGGGAAACTGGGGGAAAAAATCCTTAATTCCTTTCATAATTTTTTGATATATTAATATAAAGAAACACTTGTAATTTTTTGTCTGCTTTTGTTCATTTTCTGACTGACAAAGAAGAACACAGATTTCTTTCAACAATTCCTTCCAGTGAACAAAATGAAAAGACTCAATTTTCTGATGCCATGTTTTTGAATGGATAATATTAATAGACTTCTGGCAAGCACAGTTTCCAAACCTCCTTAAAGAGCACCGTTCAGACAATATCATCGACACCACAGCTCATCCTGATGGGTTGTCTTAACTTCACCAGCGGAAATGAGACCTTGCCTGGCAGGCACCCTTACACTGTGCAGACCTCTGTGCCTCTAATGATCCTGGTGGGCATCCTCATCCTGCTAACTGTGTTTGGCAATGTCATGGTAGTAATTGCTGTAATCACAAGCCGAGCCCTGAGGGCACCTCAGAACTTGTTTTTAGTGTCTCTGGCATCTGCAGACATCCTGGTTGCCACCTTAGTGATGCCATTCTCTTTAGCGAATGAACTGATGGGTTACTGGTACTTTGGTAAAGTGTGGTGTGAAATCTACCTGGCTTTGGATGTGCTCTTCTGCACCTCATCCATTGTTCACCTATGTGCCATCAGCCTGGACAGATACTGGTCCATCACTCACGCGATTGAGTACAACCTGAGAAGGACACCGCGCAGGATTAAATGCACAATCTTCGTAGTTTGGGTACTGGCAGCCATCATTTCATTCCCTCCACTTATCACAATGAAAAAGGAAGAGGGCAAAGAGGACAGCCCTGAATGTAAAATTAATGAGGAGAAGTGGTACATCATATTCTCCAGCACTGCCTCTTTCTTTGCACCCTGCATCATCATGATTATGGTGTATGTAAGAATCTACCAGACTGCCAAGAAAAGAACAAGAGCTCCACCAGGAGAAAGGCAAAGAGAATATGGCAACTCAGGCAACCTGGAGAGAAAAGATGGAGAAGGGAAGGAAGTGGAAGGGCTGAACGGCAGAGAGGTAAACGGGCTGGACATGGAGGAAGAACCCTCCTCGTCTGATGGGAATGAAACCATCCTCTGTTCGATGAAGAAGAAGAGGGGTATGAGGGCAGCCAAAGTAGCTCAGGTGAACCCTGGAGAAAGCTCTCCAAAGCCAGAGGCACAGCCCTGTGTGAGAGTGAGCAGGTGGAAAGGAAGGCAGTACAGAGAGAGGCGCTTCACATTTGTTCTGGCTGTGGTCATGGGAGTGTTTGTTCTCTGCTGGTTCCCCTTTTTCTTCACATACACGCTCACCGCTGTGTGTGACACCTGCTGTGTCCCAGAGACATTGTTCAAAATGTTTTTCTGGTTAGGTTACTGCAATAGCTCACTAAATCCAGTTATATACACTATATTCAATAATGACTTCAGGAGGTCTTTTAAAAAAATTGTTTGTAAAAGGGACAGAAGAGGTTTGTAAATTAGATTTTGCTGTAAGTATTTCAAAAACAGTATATTTTGGTCATCAACATTATTGCACCTATCAGTGTAAATATTACATTAAAGAGGTGGTATTATGCTCATTTTCAGGTTCAAAATCTTATTTAGGGGTTGTACCAGAACAGGTTTACATGGTTTAATTTTCAAAAAACACCACATTTTTCTCATACTGCACATTGCCGCAGCTCCTCTTTTCACCCTATGTGTTGTACGCTCCGCTCTTGAGTGATGCATCTTACTTGTACAAAATCTTTGTTTGGGAGTTGTACATGCGCAGTTCCCAGGTAAGGACTACTAGCCAATCAGAAGCAGAGAAGGGTGGGAAACAAGGTAGTGTGATCCAAATCATAGCCGCTTCAGACTGCGACCGTAACCTAGCAGATGGTATAAGTTACTCTCAAGTCCACAACATCATTGTTCCACATTTTACCATCAGGACTAAACGTTGAACTGTTGACGGTGTTCTGACAATCTATGTTGCCTTGCCGAAAAATGCTACCATAGCGCAAATTGATGGACTTGACTCTACTCCTGGAAGCAGGTACAGGTACAACATTTCTACAATGGAAAACCAAACAAAGGCGAGTCAAGGGCGTGCCCGACCCCGATAGCCGCTTGGCAAGCTTTATGACGCGTTTTCATTGTGATGTCACAAGTAAAGGAAGTGAAGGGCTGGACTACAAACTAGCTGTTCTCAAGCGGTTCAGAGCAGAGCTTTCTGTGGGAGATGGGAACTCCCTTTGGGCTGGACTTCATGCACAAAAAAGATATATAACTCAATAAAGGAGAGGGAAAAAGCCCAAAAGCATAATACCACCTCTTTAAGCAGATATTAAAGGTTCAGTGTGTAAGTCTTAGTGGCATCTAGTGGTGAGGGTTGCAAATTGCAACCAAAGGGCCAGTCGCCACTTACTCTTCCCTTTGCAAGCGCGTAGGAGAAGCTACGGTGGCTGACAAGCTCTGTCGGCTATTGTGCTAAATAATTTCATTTAATTCATGTCTCTTCTAACTTCTAATAAACCAGATGACAGCGACTATTACTACTTCTTCTTCATTCATATACAATGTAGTAACGAAATGCGCTCTGTAGAGCAGTTTGTTGTTCGGGCTACTGTAGAAGCACGGCGGTGTGACATGGTGAAGTCCTTGTTTGGGGACTTGCAGTGTATGTAGATAGAAATGGCTCATTCCAAGTTAATAAAAACATAACGATTCATTATGTAAGGTCTTTATACACCACTGAAAACACGGTTATGTATATTATATGGCATTTCCGTCAGTTGATCCTCCTAAATATTACACACTGGACCTTTAAAAGATATTTATTGAATATTTGAAACAATGTGAAATGCAGCATATTCTGCTTTGTCGTTTTTACATTTTGTGAACTTCCACATCAGTAAATGTTTGTTTTGTACTATTAAATCATGCAAACAATATCTAATGTGCAGTTTGCTTTACAGCTAGTATTACAATGTGACTACCTGTGAGTTCCGACCCTGACACTGTACAACTGTGACAACATGCATGATACATTTTGTACATGCATGTGTGTTTGTTTGTTTTGTAACAGTATTTAAATGTATCAGTCAACTATCAGATATCATCTGTCATAGTTTGGATACTCATGCTTTAAACTTGAAAGGCTTCAAAGACTGACTGAGAGTGTGATTTAAACATGGAAAAAAAAGAAAGATTATTGCTGCGCATTACATCTGAGAATGAAAATAATAATGTTATATAAAGGCAGACTTTTCAAATTGACAGACCATATCAGAGTGCAAGAAAATGTTTTACTTATGTGTAATATGTTACAAATAATATAAATCGACTGATAAGTCAATAGCTTGAAAACAAACATTTTATTATGACTGAAAACTGAATCATGTGCTGCTCAAGGGAGCAATTATTCTGCAAGAGAAAGAGATTACAAAAATGATCCACAGTATCTGGAAACTATGCTGGAAACATCTCTTTGTACCACTCTACAAACAACAGCAAGAGCATATGAAAGCAACATGTACCCAAAGCGATGGTATCCCCACAGCACCAACTATTTGCTTCACCGAAAACAATATGAAGAGAAAATTATGGCCAGGAGGTACGGGTGGCACAACAATACTGAATGCACTTTATCATGAATTACAGCTCCTCATATCAGGATATCATTAAATCATCCCCTGGAGTCAAACAGAAATGATGCAGCGATAGAAATATGAGTGGCTACTGCAGATTACACAGTGGGTTAATATCCACACAGGCTTATCAATGAGTTGTGTTCCTATGATCTGTCTGATTCAACATTGTGTCTCTCTTCTCCTTTGTTAGCACACTTTTCCCAGCACAATGGCCTGTCTTTATAGCAACTTTTCTTTAACAAACTTTTTAGACAAGTGTCAGTCACTCTTAACCTGAAATAAAATAAATGTGGCCTCCAAATTGTTTAATTAAGCAAGCATTCCATATATTAAGTAAGTAAATAACAGAGTGATTCCCATGACTTGCTCTCTGGGACTCCAGTGTGTTGAGATTCCTGTGGTACACATGTTTGGGTTCAACCATGCCTCTGAGTCTTAAAATAATATAATTACTGACCACAAATGGTAAACTATAGGCCTACTATCTTGCTGGTAGAGTTCCCACGAAGAATCTGACACGAGAGATATTAGAAAACATTGCTATTTGAGGCTTTGTGGCAATGAGAGTGGATGCAAGATAAAACTATTTCCACAAGGTTGTTCAATCATTACGAGCCTTTGTTAGGACACTGATGCTGACAGTCGGTATCAGTATGTTTAAACAAGAAAAATCAGCTGCCCCTGCTATAACACCACCTGCAAAGAGTAGATTATTATAGTTGTTGGAACATTAAAACAGATGTAGATGTTTATATTAATATTAAGCAATCAACATTATGTAACATTTAGTACCATAAAATACTTGCTCAACAATCCTTAATATATGTCTACTTGGCCCTGACTCATGGCACATTGATGTGTCTTGAAAGATAAGAATGCATTGATTGCAATCAGAATGCATCTTTTAATTAAAATGACTAGAATATGAATAGATAGAATATGTTGCTATGCTTAAGCAGCAGGATGCATATGTAACATTGTTAAAGCACATAATCACCAAACAATAGAGAATAAATGCCAAAATATCCTTTACATTACTTTCTCCCGCAAAATAATGAAACAGAGAGTTGTCTTAGCAACATCTCATGATTAGTTTGTTAATTGTAAACCCCCCAAAACATTGGTGAAATGTTACTGGATGTTTTCAAATCTGTAAATGTTTCAGTGAAATTTAGTGTTCAATCTCCTGTTCCTCACTCTATATCTCTGTAAATTAGGGGTTGTTACAAACTGTAAACAGTTAACAATTGCTATTCTCTGCATGTATGCACACACAGGTCCACGTTCCCTGTCTGCCGAGAAAATGATTTATTTCCCCCTCTAAATGGCACTTCGGAGCGTCACGATTTATGCTTGTGACACCACAGCTTATAAAAGTATGTTTTATAAGCTGCCTCTGGCAGGAGTTCCCACAACTTTCACACAGCTCCCCTTCTCCATTTGTTTCTAATTGATCTCACCTACAACTCAATAAGTGCCTTTTAAAGCTGCTAGTCATGTTTCTGAAAGAGGCTGGTCAACTTAAGAGCAAATAAAGACCAAAGAGAACAGACTGGATCCCAGACAGGGATAGTCAGGCCAGGATTGCAGTCAGAGTCAGACAGAGGCATCAAGACCATACTAACAAGTTTAAAGCATTGCTTGTGATTAATAGAGTGATTTTAATTGAATGTTGGATCATTCGTTATGAATTGAGGACAAAGCATCACACACACTGGGGCATATAATACTTCCTCCCTCTTGAATTGATAAGGATGCGAGATAATCAAATTACATTCTGAGGGATGTAAGCAGCAGGAAGATCTTGTTGAATTTGCCTCATGGAATCATTCCAGTTACTTTCTCTCTGTTCACCATTGCATCTATAATGGAAATTTTACTCAATGCAAAGTCTTATTATGACCCCCAGTTAGTTAATGAGTTAAATATATTTAATCACAGAAGTCAAAGCTGTCTAAGTATGTAGAAGATGACTGCCGTTACGCAAAACAAATGACCAGTGATATCAATACAAAAACTGTAAATAAAATGAGAATAATTTAATCAAAATAAAATATGGATATCTCTGCGATGGACTGGCGACCTGTCCGGGGTGTGCTCTTTCGACCGATGTCAGCTGGGATTGGCTCCAGCCCCCACGACCCTGTACGCAGGATAAGCGGTTGACGATGGATGGATGGATGGATGGATGGATGGAAATATGGATATTGTCTGAACGACTTGCCAGGCCAATATTTTTCTGCATGCTGAGATTGGACCTGTTATTTTATCTCCAGTCATTGAGAAAGGGATTATTGTGATCAGTATAAATCAGCTAGTTGGTTCTTTTATTTTCTTAGCTAAGGCAAAACATACTCGTCTTAAAAAGGCTCAAGAAAACCCTGGGGGGATGAGGACCCTGCTGGAATCAAGAGAGTCAAAACACATGGATGATGTCGAATTTACTAAATATATTAAATTTATCAACTAATAGAAGTTCATTCTTTTGGACAGCCAATTTAGTCTTGGCATCAAAATATGAGGTATGGCCTAGACGGTTTAAAATTTTAGTCTATAATTCTCCATCTAATGTTCCTACAGCAATTAGTGAATGTAACTGAATTAGTCCACTTTAAACACATTAGGTGTAAGGGCTTTTGGGCCGGACTACCTCTGCCTGTTTTGTCTATTCATTTAGAGCATATTAAAAAGAATCTCTGCCGTTTTATTTTAGAAACAACAGAATCTGTTTTACATGATGAACTCCTCTGACCTTCTTGTAGTAACAAGTGCCCTGGGCTGAAAAGGCAATAGACTGGACTTTTATAATAATAATAATAATAATCTTTATTTGTAGCACTTTTCAAAAACAAGTTACAAAGAGCTTTAACAAGTGTAAAGACAATAATACCCAAGAGACAATAATACAAAAACAATACAAGATAAAA